GTCGGTTCACACCCCATCACAAGCCAGCAAAACATCCACGAAACAAAGAAAGGTCTGTCACAGCCAAAAAATACACTCCAGACACGCCGCTGGCATTAGAGGCACAGCATGGCCGCCTAGTAACAGCCCCGACCACTGCCGCTCGACCTGACCGGAAAAAACCGTAGCAGGAAGCTAGTATATATATATATTGTATATATTTATTTATTTTTTTTGCAGGGTGCCAACGTCCCCCGACCGGTAGGTTCCGACCAGCTGATTGGTCGGCGGGTCGGCAGCCGACCAGTCAAGGGCTGCCGACCGTCAGGGGGTGCAACCCTGCCTGGCAGGCCATTTTTCACTCAAAGCTGTCTCCACACAGGGAAAGCAGTAGCTTTCCCAAGTTCAGATTGAAAACATACCTCCACTTCAACTTCACCCCAAATGAAAATCACCGCTACACCATCATCGCCATTATCCTATGCTAACTCCCATGCCACGTCTATTGTGCCATCATCATCATGGCCGACACTACTACCTTTCTGCCCAACGCAGGTGCACGTGCAGACTTCTCTTCGTCCCCTCCCTCCTCGTTCCCAAGGCACTTTTCAAAAGGGATGAAACAATTCTACGATAGCAAGCAACCACCCCTCTCTTCATCCGAGAACAGTTCGAAAAGCAACCTTCCCTGGCTTTAGGATATCAATCCTCATTTGCCCCTCGGACTTTCAAAAGTACACCTCAACCCCGTATTCGAATACACCCTTTCGCACCACCACATGCAGCTGCACCACCGTCTCCTGCATCCACTCCCACTGCGGTTCTGCATTGATTAAAGAACAACTCTCCCCATTCACACCAAGAACATTGTCTTTTGACATACCTCAACCCCGTATTCGAATACACCCTTTCGGACGACCACATGCAGCGGCACCACTGCCTCCTGCGTCCAATGCCACTGTGGTTCTGCATTGATTAAAGAGCAACTCTCCCCGTTCACACCAAGAACATTTGTTTTTTGACATTACGCGATCAGCCTACATTGTTCTCCTGGAGTCTTAACCGCTTCCCATATTGTCATGCACTGGCCTGGCGGACTGCAAACGCAGGTCACTGGAAAATGTCTTGATTCTTTATCACTACCCCCTCACCTCGTCCGCAGTTACTTCCTTTTTCATTCTTTGGCGATTTGGGGGCGCACACCCCTTCTCCTTCAGTTCCTACTCCTCAACCTCCTTTTAGTACACACCCCTCCTGTTACTCCTCAACCTCCTTTTAGTACACACCCCTTTTTCTGTTCCATACCTGGCATCACCATCCTGCCACACACGTCCTTTCACCTTTACAAACCTTCATCCCACCCATTTTTGTCATCCGGCATGCCTCTTCCACACCAAACAACCATCCCCTCCCCTCTTTGACTGGCAGCCACACTGTGCACCCTTCTCTGCTTCCTATCGCACACCCTCCTTACCACTTCCTGCCACCCACAAACTCCCTTACCTCAACTGCCAAACTCCCCAACACAAACCTTCCTTTTTCACAACATTGTCCCCCATCGCCGCCCACATCTTCCAACTTCGCATCATTCTCCCCCTTTCTCCCCACCCCTCTTTGTCGGGCAACCACTCCTGCCGCCCACCAACCCCCCTTACGTCAAATGTCAAACCCCGCAATGCAAACCTTCCTTTTCACAACATTATCCGCCTTCGCTGTCCACACCCTCCTTCTTCACAACGTTCCAAACCTTTCCTGTCCAATGCCAAACCCCCTCTATCTGAACATTTCCCTACCAACAAACTCCACCCAATGTTCTCATCATCTTGCTGTCTCCCCTTCCTCGCCAAATATCAGCAACCCTCTCTTGTCCCCATTTCCCTTTCACTCATACTTCGCCACTTCGCGTCATGTCATTGATCCCCCGACAGCCCATCCCCACCTCATCAACCAAAGACAAAGAGAAGATTAAAACAGACAGTCACAAAAGAGGCAAAGCGAGACAAAGAAACAAACAGAACTGACTGACAGACTGACAAAACAATAGAAAGGAGAACCAAGGAAACAGAAAGGGCACAAAGAAGCAAGGGAGGAGAAAGCGGCCTGGACACGGCGAAGCATACGTGCAGTCACAACAGGCGCAAAGGAAGTAAGGATGACAGAGTATAAGTGTGGCAGGGAGAGAGACAAATGAAGTGGGGATGGACTATTGGCCCATGGTCCTTTCTTCCTCTGGTCTTTGGTTCCCAGCAGGAGCTGTGCATCCGCCATAAGGCATAACAAAAGTGTGTACCTGTCAGGTCTTCCATGTTGACGGGCTTGATGTCAACAATGTTGAAGCTCTGATCACTCACTTCGAGATTCCAAAGGTTTATCCGCAAATCATCTGCAGAGATGTATGTTTCCAAGTCGCTACACATACACACACCGAGGAGTCCCACAAGCCACAAACAGGCCCCTTCACGCAACTACCCCTCCCTCACCATCCCCTCCCGCCTCAAATTCCTCGTTCCCCCCCCACCTCGAAGGAACAAGAAACCAAAAAGGAATCGAACCCAACCCATCAGCGTTCAATCATCATTAACAGAACCGTTCACCAGAGGTATATGCATCGCCTTACAAACCCCAAACTGCAGTTAAGCACTGAACTTGAGAGAAGATGACAGCATTAACAAACCATGACCACGATGTTGTTTTGCAAACCAATCCTATTAGGACTCCCCACCTCAAAGGAACAAGAAACCAAAAAGGAATCGAACCCAACCCATCAGCGTTCAATCATCATTAACAGAACCGTTCACCAGAGGTATATACCCTTACCAACCCCAAACTGCAGTTAAGCACTGAACTTGAGAGAAGATGACAGCATTAACAAACCATGACCACGATGTTGTTTTGCAAACCAATCCTAACTGTCTAAGCAGACGAAGCTACCTTCTAAGATTTGTGAGCCTCCAACTGCACGTTTCCAAAGTGGCCTGCCCCTTTTGCTGCCGGCCGGGGCCCAAATCGAAGTGCTCTTACCGAGTATACCAGTAGCAGCACTACTAGGTTTGTCTGTACTGGTGGTTTAAGGAGAGTTGTAAGCAATGTCCCCAGGAAATCTGAACTAACAACCTGTGCCGCATGCGTAGCATCACCGTACTGTGATCATACAGAGCACACAAGCAGCTAAACTCTGACACAGGCCAGCGTTGACAGGTGAGGTCAACTCTCATCTTTAGTTTTAAAGCCATCTCAATTGCCACCCAACATGAAAACAGACAAGCACAGCACTTGAGAGCGTGGAGAGGATACCCGCCAGAGGTGAGCATTTTCCGTGTTACCTTCACCAACGCTTGACCCGCCCAGAATTCATTTTAACCAAACAACCCCCACCCAATCATTTTTCTTTTCCCCTCACCTCGACCCAGCCTGCCCAGTTGTTTTTTTTATTTCCACCTTCACCCAACCTGCCCGACACCCAGAAAAAAGCCTTACCCAGACCCGCCCACACTCACGACCAAAGGCACCTGGACATCAATACTGTTCCTATATAAATCATGCAAGCAACCAGGCTAACCATTTCCAGCAAGGGCTGCAATCGTATTTCATTTTTCCTTCGAGGTGTTCTTCATTCACCCATCACCGCATGCACACAGTTTTTCCGATTCATACCAAGGAACCATAACCATGGTACCCCCATCCCATCCAAGCCCCAAACCACAGGCCATTTTTGGGGACTGTGGTTTGAGGCCTGAGAAAACCCTGTTTAGTCCTTATGGTACCCCATCCATGCCTCAAACCAGTCCACCTGCACACTTAACTAGTGCTAACCCCAAACCATAGGGACCAAACAGGGCTTTCCCACAATGTGATAGAGAGTCAGATGCATTTGAAACTTCGGTAGGAGAGACGGCAGATGCATTTGAAACTTCGGCAGTCAGACCATGTAGAGAGTCAGAGTCATTTGAAACTACGGTACCCCATCAGATGCATTTGAAACTTCGACAGTCAGACCATGTAGTTGACTGGCACAGCTGACAGGCGGAGCTCACAAGTAGACCTCACAGGCAGGCCATACAGCTCACGGGCAGGCAGGCCATGCAGCTCACAGGTAGGCAGGCCATGCAGGCAATCTATCTTGCTGGCAGACGTGACAGGCACGCCATGTAGCTGAGGGGCAAGTGGGACAGGCAAGCCATGTAGCTGAGGGGCAAGTGGGACAGGCAAGCCATGTAGCTGAGGGGCAAGTGGGACAGGCAAGCCATGTAGCTGAGGCGCAAGTGGACAGGAGGGTGATGTCACGGACAGGCAGACCTTACAGGCAGGAAATGCAGCTCACTGCAGACATGATAGGTGCATCTTGCAGCTCACAGGCAGACCTGACACGCAGGCCATTTAGCTCACTAGCTGGCCCAACAGACAGACCTGACCGGTAAGCCACATAGCTGACACTCAGTCCTGACAGCAGAACATGTAGCTGATGGGCAGACCTAACGCATATTCACTCAGCGAGAAGATTAGAGATATCTCCCACCTCTTGCAGTCCCACCTCTTGCAGCCAAGGGGTATTCCCCACCCTCTGGCTGAGCAAGGGCCAACCCCAGAATGAGTGTCACAGTGAACTGCGCAAAAATGGAAACCACATTCCGTCAAACAAGCAAAAGAATCACACACCATACACACCAGGACACCAAACATGCAAAACCTCTCAGCCTTTCAAATGTCAAATCTGGTCCACAATCGGGCTAGCAATGCTACCGACAGTGCAAACAGAGGCCCCACGCAGCAGATACCGGGATGCACAAATATTCAGTGCCCCAACTTTAGCATTTTTTAATTCTCATCTCCTTGGGATGAAGAGTTCTGATGCCTAATCATGCGTAGGATAAGTTCCCCTCGGTCAGGGGGGGGAATAGAGAGGCGTACCAAAAACAATTGCTTGCGAGAAGAAAGGCACAAACCGAATGCATTCGGTTACCCCTCCTCACTGTGACCTGGTAGGTCCGACCATTCACGCTGGGAAGACCAGGGTCGGGGTAATGGTGATTTAAGGATAAAAAAAGACAACCAAACAAAACGAATGACATACCTGTTATTGGAAATGGAGTTTATGTGATACGCATGGGCATTTGCAAAAACCCGTCTGCACCTGGCAACAAGTGCCGTTTCATTCCTCCACTCCTGTGAAGCACAGAACAAAACAACACTTCCACTCATCAGAAAAATAGCCACGTTTATAATATCTTCATTCTGACAACGTCGGCGCATCTCTAAAATGTTCATATTCTTAGTAGACTGGACAGGGATCGTTTTACTGTCTTCACCAGAACAGTACGTATGGTCATTATAGCCATATTCGGCTCACTTTCAGTCCAGATGCAGCAAAAATGACCGTACGTTCTATTGGGCAGGCAGAAGGGTAGTCTGCAACCCCTCCTCCAGTTGTAGAAAATAACCTCCAGTTGCCAGATCCCTCATAGATTAAAAAAAAGATACCAGTTGACATCATCATTATGTGCCAGAATGTTTGCGACTTGTTGCGAGCATTCCTATTTCAAAAGACACTTGAGTCAGCCCATTAGTAACATCGAGTAAAAACGCACTTCACTCACATCGTGAATGCCAGCAGTTTTTTAATCATAAATACCATGTCAGTGTGAATTGCGGCAAGCACAGAAGAACACGCAGCACGATAACCAGACGCGGGCAAGGAACAAGATACAGAAACCTTTCTTCTTTTTTTCAAATTTGGACCACTTGTGCCTGGACATGCTAATCTTCTTTTATCGTTCCAATTTTAACGGATGCCCCGAAGGACACAAGATACATAACCTACCAAGCATGGAATGTTTCTTTTTTTTTTTTTTTTTTTTTTTTTTTTTTTGAGCACGCGGAATGGATTTTCAAACTTCCCGCCTCTACCAACTTGACGGTGGAAAGGAACCACACTGATGCTCCCGACAATAGACTGCAGTGTGTGTTTCATCTTCAACCATAAGGGACCTCAAAACTGTGGCTTCCAAAAGAAGACAACTTCCCGAAGTGTTAATCGCCAGAACCTCCAAGCCCCTTTAAGAATAAAAAATGCAACCTTCTGGGTTCTTTCGATGAACAGTGCGACCGGGACCAAAGCAGTCGGTGCCACCAGGCAAAGAAAAGAAAACACGTCTGTGTTTTGTTTTGGTGCACAGGGGAATCTGCCAGCCACAAAAAGAGGCTCAGAGGTACTGGTTATTTAACTCATTTAAACCACCACTACCTTTCCAAGCTGTATAGCCCCATTCGGGAAAATGACCTCGAGCGCAAAGTTCAAGTGTCTAGGTGAGGGTTGGCAAAACCAAAACATTTGGGCCTTGTGGGCCTGATCGGAGGGAAGGTAAAAAAAAAAGAAACTGCAGAGTTGAAAGGAAGGACGTCGGAGAAAGCCACGAAGGAGGTGTGCTCACAGTACTGCCTCCAGGAATGCATCTGCCCAGAATCATCGATAGTTTCGTTTTTTGTTTTTTGTGTTTTTATTTTTTCCTTCTTAGTTTTAGTGGCCTGCCAACGAGGCAGGGCGCTTTCCACGGACAGCTGACACTTGCAACCAACGGGGCACTCTCGCATGTACTCAAGATTCTGTATCCAACTGCTTTTACGTCCAAAGAGTGGTTGCTGTTTTCGCTTTTTTTTATCCATACAGCCGTGTTTGCTGAGGGCTGTAACAGCTGACACTTGCAACCAACGGGGCACTCTCGCATGTACTCAAGATTCTGTATCCAGCTGCTTTTGCGTCCAAAGAGTGGTTGCTATTTTGCTTTTTTTTCCCATACAGCCATGTTTGCCGAGGGTTGTAACGCCTGCTGGGAGGGCATATTCTCACTTGTGCCCAATGTTTCGTATCCAGCTGCTTTCACGTCCAAAGAGTTGTTGCTTTTTTTCTTTTTTTTTTCCCTAGTGCCGTGTTTTGCTGAGGGCAGTAACGCCCTTTGGCAGACTCTCACGTGTACCCAATGTTCCGTATACAGCTGTTTTCACGTCCCTAACGTCTTCGCTTTTTTTCTTTTTTTTTCTTTTCCAGCGGGTAACAGAAAAGAGAATACAATGGGACCCAGGCTCGGCAAAACTCAGTGCACAGTGAAATTCAGGGTCGGCAAAAACAGGCTCGGAGGTAGTGGTGGTTTAAGATTATGAGCATTCCAAGCCCATTTGGAGACACGAGGCAGAAAAACACCGTACAGAAAGTCATTAAACCACCACTTCACACGAGCCTAAGTTGACCAACGCACCTTCCAAGGCTCGTGAGGCTGCAACTGCACCTTCTCAAAGTGGCCTGCCGCTTTCGCTACCCGCCCACACCCGAATTGAAATGCTCCTAACGTGCCTACCGATAAGAGCACTACTTACCAGGTTTGCGTGAACTGGTTCAAGTGTCAAGGATCTCACAACTGTCACTAGCGGGGAGGACGTAAATTTCCAAACCATGAAGACGATGGGCCTCCCAGCGCCCTCTGGAGCTCCACGGAGATAGAGACTGCATAATCTGGACACTGAGCCACCGCGTGCGTACCTGCCGGGTTACTCAGGCCCGTGCGGCCTCGGGATGGCCAAAATTAGCCATCAGAATTGCTTGCACACATCAGTGGTCTTTACGCAGGGTCCCTATCTGAAGTTCGATGCGCCTGACTTGCCAAACTGTGGCATACTGAGCCACACAGGCCCCAGTTAGGACCCGGTTCCCAGTAGGCAGAGTAGGCCCAGGGGGACAACGGTTCAGACCAGGCCCAGATAGGCCTGAGGTGGGGCACGTTAGGCCCGAACGGCCAGAGGCCGGTACCGGTCCAGCCCAGGACCAACCGGCGGCGCTTCAGAGGCTGCCACATTTTGGGCGCCAAACCAGTTTGAATCTGGACCGTCGATTCAGATCAACGGTCCAGGCCGGAAGGTACCCGTAGGCAAGAGGCCGGCCCAGCACTACAAAAGGCTGGGTACCAGCCTCAGTCCGGTAGGTTAGTATGAACGGAGGTTAGTCGTCAGGATTAGCGCAGCAGCAACGTTATCTCGATTAGCGCAGCGCTGCAGCAGCGAGGAGCAGCGAGGGAGCAAAGGTTCAGCGGAGAGCGGATTAGCGCAGCACTGGGCGCCTCGCCAGTTACCGGCCCAGCCGTCCCCTTTGCAGGGCCATAGCCAGGTATCAGGGAGGAAGGCTTCGCCTTCTCTCCCTCTTCTCCTCTACCGCTTCTCTCTCTCTCTCTCTCCCTCTCTTTCCCTCTCTCTCCTCCTGCCTTCTCAGTCTAAGTCTACTTCTCCTACAGGACTACTGGGAGATGGTTACGATTTCTGATGATATCTGAGACAGCGACATTGGGACTACAAGTTGAGGACTATTTGGGGATCTGATTTCATCTTCCTTTCGGAGATGTACTTGACATTGTGAGATCGACATCTGGGATATTGTGAGACTTGTCATTCGCAACATTTCGGATTTTCGTCACTTCTGACAGTTCAAGATACTATCTTTGGAAACATTGAGTTGACGTCATCTTCCCTCCTCCTCCTTCGTCTCTCTCCTCTCCCCCTTCATCCGTGTATGATCTCAGCCCTGGCCCTTCGTCTATAACTCGAGGCCAGGGCATTCACACCCTGATGAATGTTGAGAGTGTTCGATTGCAGTCCGAGTCAGGTCTGAGTCCGTCCAAGGTATCTCAAGTCTTCCGCTTGCGTCTCTATAACTCTGTATTATCTGGTCGGTTCTGGGAATCTGCGCCATACTTATGACTGTGTTTCACGAGTATGCAACACAAACCATCAGTCAAGGGACCCACTTGGGAAGGCCCACACAAGGGTTCAGGCAAGAATGGATGAACTGACCTTATTGCCATGTGCTCCCAGAGTAAGAAAGGTGTTCCATAGTGTCCCGCAGCCGAGCCTATCTTCAGCGTCCGTTCAGGACCAGCCATGCCTTTTTTTTTTAACGAAAAAAGAAGGAACACTACAAAGTCTGCCTTGAATTTGAGGGACACTGTCAGCTGTTGAGGACCAATCAGATCCTTTTCTTTCGCTAACAAGAACATTGTAATGCCTTTCCAAACAAAAAGTCAGTCCCTAAGGGCCTCTCTCCACTACTCCCCAAATGTGCGACATGAGAGTGAATCTTCCGCTAGAACATGGAACGATGCACCGCCATAATTTTTGTATTTTGTGCATGTTGCGAGTAGTGGAGCAATGCCCTAAGTCTGGTCAGTACTCGTAACATTCTGGTAGCAAAGATTACACTTATTAATTGTTCGCAGTGGCTTTCTTCCCAGTACCTTTACACATAAAACTTTAACTCTTCTGTTTTCTTATCTTACTACTGTTTCAAATCCACCTTCGGTTTCGTACGTCCTCGGGGGTGGCCATCATCTCTAGAATCAAAGGCCGGTGCTTTTATCATGGCTCAACTCCATTTGTGGGACGCACAAATTCTGTGAAGTACAAAGACAAGAGACCAAGATTGCTGGCAAACGGGGTGGGCGCCCCTTAGGTTTGCCATGGTACTCTTTGCTTCTCTTCTGTGGACCCTACCGACCCACCCACCCTCTTCTCACCCCTTTTCTAAACCCTGCCTGCAGAATGGAAGGCTTCTTCTCAAATGTTTTCGTTGTTCTCAGGTCAGCTGCCAAATCCAATCGTTATCATCGATAGCCATCATCACAGTACAAAACTTACCGCATCCGTCACTTTGAAATACTAGTTTGTTTGTTTGCTTTTTGCCCAATTGAAATACCGGTTTCAATGGGGGTTTATTTCCTTACCGGTAGTTTTACAAATGGCCCCAGGAAATCTGCACCAACAAAGTAGCCCTTTGTCAGAATGACCATATCCAGCTGGCCAAGCTACTGGGTTTGAACCCGTCCTGGCCGGCGTCCATCCAGGTCGCAGTTGCCAAGCCTCTGAGGTGCTTGAGACACAAAGTTCATGGTTTCACGTCTTTTTGACAGCAACAGTACAGACTGACACTACGAGGAACCAGTGCTCTTCGGACAGAATGGCACAAAGGCAAACAGACGTGGACAGAGCATAGACATAGGAGGAAAAACTACAGAGTTCTGTTCGGTGGGATCCTGGGTTGGAGAAACATACAATTGATGGTAAACGTAGATTTGGGAAGCCACCCCTAGGTATCGTAACTCCCTCGAGCACCTGACTTGGCCGCCTTGCCAGGGGTGATAGACTCCCATTCATCCTTGGCGCTCGCGGGCTTCCAAGCGGGCTACCTCCCAATAACCCGTTGCTTGCGACCACCTTCGTTGGCTCAACATTGAAATTTGTCACAAACTTCACTTTCCTCTCAAAAACCTGCGCTTAATTCCCCAGCCATGGCACACAAGAGCTCACAAGCATTCATACACACACACAAACACAAACACAAACAGAACCCCAAAACCAAGCAAGGAACACATTGCTTTGCACCCCTTCACACACCCGTGTTCATGCCTCCTCGCAGCAGAAGCACCACCCACATGCGCGCACACACACACAGAGGCCAAGCTTTCGGAAACCGAAGAAGGCATCCTCACAGCAGAGACAGCACCCCATCCAGATCTCCCCGCACAGGCAGCCAGAAGCAAAGCAAGTCCTGTACTCACTCTCTTTCACCCCTTGGATACGAACTTCATGCAACAAACACACTCCGTTTTCACATCACCCCTTTCACCTTCCCGATTACCCAAGTGCCCCACCTCCCTTGTTTGACAGCCAAAGTGGAACGCATGCAGAGGGAGAATGCAATGAGCATTCTTGAGACCAAATGCACAAATGCAGCCAGATGAGTGGCCATCGCCACTCACCTCTCTCACATCGTGTCCCATTCTCCCCCAGAAATCAAACACCCCAGGCATGCCCAAAAACAGCTTCACGCCCATGAAACGGTTTCTCCATGCCAATATCACAGACACAGATGCAAGAACCAGCTACGTTGTGTCATTCTGTGTCGCTCGCCACTCAACCATCTTCATCCAAACTTCCATCCAATCACTCAAACATTCTGCATACAGAGGAAAAGGTAATAAACCGCTTTAAACAAGTCCTTCCCCTGAAGTGGGATTCCAAGTCAGATAATACACAAGATAGTCCCAGAATCACTGACAACTCAACATATTCCACTGGACTCCTCATGACACCTGCACTCTACAGTCACCATATTTACAAGTGGCGTTGATATAGAACATGAGAAACACTGCAAAGAGCAAATATAATTTGTCCATATCACTACAGCACTTAAAAGCACATGCAGACTGTCCCAAAGCGCATACCACGCACACCATCAGAGTCACATAATCCAATGGTGAAGGCTGGTCGAACCGCACAAGATAACAGAGCACGAAAATTATGTGATGGTCCAACCACAGAAATTGCAGAAGACAATTCCATCATCAGAGAGAACCCCTCTTTCGACACCTTTAACCCTCATGATCCTGAATGGGATGCTCCAACCACAGAAAAAGACACCTTATGGACAGAGCGCCCTTGTCAGATAATTGCATTATCGGTGAGACCCACCATTGGACAGAGCGCCCTTGTCACCCCCAACACCCCCCCCACAAACGCCCCCAAACGGTGAGTCCTTCGGAGCTTTAGCAAGGCATAGCTCAGCCCCACTGTTGCTACAGCTGCCCGAAGGAACTAGAACAGCACACTGACATTCAGAGTGACACAGGTTGCGCTCCCTCCACATAGAGGAAAGGTCAGGGCTGGGGTCCAATCAACTGTCGTGAGACCTTCACAATCAACATTCACAATCGGCCACCACAGTAGACCCACTGGCGTATTAATGTAAGGATTGTTTCCTTCCTAAACAGCATGCGACCAACCATTCTCCAAAATGCCAAAAAGGACCAACTGAGATTGTGCACATAAGCAACTGTTAGGAAACAGATCACGAGTTCAAGTCCTAATCGAATCAGAAAATACAATACCGTTAGGCGCCACCCCTTGAAAACAAGGAAACAAAAAAAGAAGGCATACGACCGCTCCCAACTACCGTCTTAACCCAAATACAATGTACGGTCATTATAGCTTCATTTGGGACGACTTACATCGATAATCACCTACGTTGTTCACGGGTGAAGATGGTAGTAAGCTGAGCTTCTCGTGTATACTGGACACGTTGTCAAGTCCTGCTCTTTGTGGTCCATCTAGCCTCTATGGCTGCAGAAAGGTGAGAGTTTGTCAGATCTTCTTAGCACAGTTGGGAACAGGAGTGAGGACAAAGCATGACTGCTCAGAAGGATCATCAGAAACGAATAGCAACTGAGAGACGAAGGTGAGCATGAAGAACGACACAGATGGCCTGACGGACGTGAAATGCCATGGGTTTTTGCATTGTAAAATGCAAGTATATCTGCGTGGTGCATCGGGATCATAGAACGACGAAATTGACACAGCCAAAGTGAAACCCTGCATGTCTGAAGGGTTACAGTGACAGTGCTCTTGGTGCATATAAAGCTCGTCTGTCAGAGAGCTCAACGAGTGGCAAGTGAGAGACGAAGGTGAGCATGGAGAACGACACAGACGGAAGGATGAACGTGAGAATGGCGAAATTGACACAGCCAAAGTGGAACTAAGTATCAAACATGAGCCAGAACGAGAGGGACGCTGCATGTCTGAAGGGTTACAGTGAAAATGCTCTTCTTGCAACTCAAGTTAACCTATCAGAGAGATGAACAGAAACTAGTACCAGCTAAGAAATGAAGATGAGCATGAAGAACAACATCGACGGAAAGACCAAGGTAAGTGTGTGCACAATGACACACATGAGAGTCACACTAAGTACCAAACACACAAGATAGGAAAAAGGAGGGACTCTGAATATGGGGTAAGGGTTACAGAACACATCCTTGTGAAACCAAGGCATGTCCGCCATCTTCACCCCAATAGAGCGCCCACTCATTATCACTGTTTCTGGACTGAAAGTGTGGCAAATACAGCAATGACACCACGCATCTATTCGGGTGAAGGCAGTAGTCAGACGGATCAGCAGAAAGAAATAGCAGCTGAGCGACGACGTTGGGCATGAAGAATGACATAGACACAGAGATCAAGGTGTGTGTGAGGAATAATACAGCCGCATTGTGACTACGTACCAAAGACAAGAAGGAAAAAGACAGGGACTCTGCATTGGAGAAGAGAGAAAGGAGAAAACACTCATGCGAACGATGCAACTGAAAATGGACAACAGCTCAGCGGGGATCTAACAGGAGAGAGAAACAAGATAAGAAGGGTGGCCGAAACATTTGCAGGCTAAGAATAGCACAAAGAAAGTGGAATACAAAAGGGAAAGGGAGAGGGACAGCAGAGAAATTGCACATGCAAGTGCAGCAACTGCAACAACAGCAGACTTCAGCAGGAAGAAAGCAAGATAGAAAACGGAGAGGGAGCAAAGCAAACCTGTCAACATAGGCATCGCAGTACCGAGACCAAGGGTTCAGGAGGGAGGAACAAGCACAGCAAAGGAGGATGTGCAACGGAAACAAGCAGTGATACCTTCCATAACTTAATCGTCTTGTCGTTTGTGGAGAGAAGAAAGCGGGCACCATTTGCTGTATAACACCACCGAATCTTGTTGATCTTCTCCTCGATCTCCAAGCTCTTCAAGTAGTCAAACTGTTGAAAACCCGTCCAAACATGATCTCCCAATCTATCAGAAAAAAAAAGACCTCTGGATTTGTAAAAACTGCATACATTTCTGTCTCGCGCGAAAAGGAAGGTACTGTTTCGTTCGGCATCTCATATTTCCCCTCATGCAGTTCTGGATCATACATTTGCATGCTGGCGATTGGGTCCCGCCGAGCGCAGCACATTAGAAGACCACTCAGAATCAATCAAATCATGTCTTTCGAACTGGGCTCTTTTGTATTTCAGGTCCAAAGAGAAAGGACGCCGTTAGAGTCCAGAAGTCGTCCCTTTACTTACCAAACCTTCTTGTCTTCCTTTCCTCCTCCACATAGGGGGCTAAACGCAACCCTACGAGAGTGGTTCATTGCTGTTTTCATTGGCACCTCGTTGTGCGAATAATCCTCCAAAACCCACCCTTACACACTCAGCACACAGCAAACACCCAACCTCTGCCTGCCGTACCCAGGAGAGAGTGTGCATGCAGCAGTGTGGTGCATATGACACTCCAAGCATTTATCGCCGCACATCCAGATCAGGGCTTCTGCAGCTAGGGGTTCACCTCCACATGCTCTTTGTGAACTAGCTACATGGTGTATCACATTCAGGAAGGACAATCCAACTCTGCATCAATGATCTAAGAAAGAGTGTCAGGATAGAATGGGCCCAGATGTGGTACTAACCTCAGGCTCATGACTCTGGAACTCCGTGGAGTACCTATACTCAATAGTTCTTGCCGACTGATCCATTCTTTCATACTGTCTTCTGGATCTTTCCTGCTGAAGAGAAAGGGCCACACAAGAGAACAGTCACAAACACACAGCATTAACATAAGCCCCATTCCCTCCGACATCTATCTGATCACCCCCCCTCCCCAACCCCAACCCCCGTCTCCCCCTCTTCCCATTAGACGTTGTCACAAATTGAAACTTAGAATACAACACACACCCGAAGAGTGAATAATCAGAGGTGCTGGGATCAGCCCAGCTCTCATAATGTTTGTGTCGCGTCCACGGAGATGCACAAAGCTCGCCACTGTGCTTTAAGCCAAACCAACCTGCTCTGCTCCTGATCATCTATCTCGTTCGTTGCCTGTGTCCAATGAACAAACGGAGTTTAGCAAACAAACATATGCTTGCAAGCTCCAGCAGCCAGACCACAAACCTCCCCCCAACCCTGCTAAGGGTGCAATTTCCAGATTACACCCTTGCAATACCGCTGCATGAACAAACAAACACATGTGTGTCAGGTGCAGACACAATCTGGAACTTGAGTGAGGGGGTAATGAAGCTAAGGTTGAGAGTGAGTGTGCCCTCAAGCAGGCGTATTGCCACATAGATGCTTGCCAAATTCAGGTGGTAGAGAAAGAACACTTCGACAAGGGAGAGGATGTTGCAGAGGGTCAGAAAATGCCTAGACACCCGCTGCCACAGAGCAAATGGAGCTGAAGAGTGCAGAAAAGCATGTGCAAGTTCATCGTGTGCGAATTCAGGAAATGCTTTCAGCAGCTATCCATTTACAGCACACAGAGAGAGAGAGAGAGTGAACAGTAGCAACTGACCCAGCCTCGTGGATGAAACGGTACATATATCAAACTGTTGATAAACAGATCACAAGTTCAAATCCCAATGCAGACAAAAATCGAAGGCGAGATTGCAGCTCAAACAATGAGGCCAGCTGCAGGCATGAGAATAGAGTTGCTAGAACCTTACGTCTCTCCCATCTACCCTCTCGAAAAGGACTACACGTCCACCTCTGTCTCCTGTCGCCAGGTGCTCCCCGGATTTGTCGAACTCAATTGCAGAAATGATATCCACTGCCAATCACACACACACACACACACACACACACACACACACACACACGCGCACACACAGATATAAGACAACATCAATCAAACGCCAGCACGTACACAGATGTAAGACAACATCAATCAAGCACCATTACGCACACAGAGAAGACGATCGGACAAAAAGTCACAGGTTCAAATCCTGCAGGATGCTGGAAATCCAAGCTGTGTCAAAACCAAATCAACGGTTGGCAATGGAACTCAATCCTCATGAAACGTATCCCCGTCCTCGTCAGCATACATGAGCCCAAAACGGCTTTTTTTTTTTTTTTTTTTTTCCTTGGGTCATACCCCTCTTGTCAATTCTCCCCGGCGCACCCCCCCCTCCACCATTCCCACCTCAATGTCTAACTCCCAGGACCATCACCCTTATTACCATCTTGCCAGGGTAACCTGTCTCCTTCACGCTATAAGTATCTTGTGGCTGAACTGTACAATGCATATGCAATTCTTGATAAACCGGTCATCAGTTCGAATCCTGATCACCAGCGTCTCACCGAAACAATATCGAAAAAACAAGAAAGGAAGTTTGGATCCTTCGCTGGCATGATGAGGTTTGATGTGCTCTTCTTTGTTCTCTGTGTAGTAAACAGACCATGAATTCAAATCCTGATTACAGACATCTCGATAATCTTTTTTTTTTTTTTTAATTTGGACCATTTCTCGATTTATGTGTGCCATCCTTGCGCAGGGGCCATGCTAATCTTCTCTGTATCGTTCCAATTTTAATGGATGTCCCGAAGGACAGACATCTCGATAATCTAACAATGATATCTGAGAAAAGTTTTTGAACTGTGGCTGGCTTGGTCAGGTGTGGTGCTCACTTGTTTGTCATCAGTGTGTACTTGTCCTTGCCCTGTTTAAGAGTGAGGAGTATTAACGCTTCGGCCGACTGCGAAAGGGCTTTTATACATTCTGTAATGACCCGCCAAAAACACAGACTGAGAACACTGCTGATTTCTGGGATTTGCCGCTGGAATGAACGCCTTGCTGAAATTCCCGCATTCTGCTGTGATTTCCATGTCTGTGTGTGTGTGCGTGCCTGCTGGTTTGCATGCCTGTCTGAGTGCTTGTCGGTTGAGTGTGTGTATGACCCGCAAGGGTACTTGTTGGTTGAAAGGCCCCGCAGGGCCGGAACTTACCTGTGGCCGTGACTTTGAGGGTTGAAGGGGGGGAAACACTTAAGTAGCGGGGGTAGGCCCACGACACTTAGAGCAGAGGGGAAAAACACTCAAGTAGCAGGTAGGCCGGTACCACTGAAGTAGTGGTAGAAGCGTCGGGTACTGGAGGCCGAGCAGAAGAAGACAAAAAGTTGGCATTTTTTTAGAGGCCCAGTAGCGATAGGCTAGAGGTAGGCCGGTACCAGTCCAAGTAGCCCGGGTCTAGGGCCTGTCCGGGGGATCGCAGAGCCTGCAATGATGTTTCCCTCCAGAAGGGAGGAGGTACCGGTTGCTGGGAGGCCGCTCGGCCTAGGAAGTCACCGCCCAAGAGCCCAGTAGGCCGCTATATCTTCTGGAGTAAGCGAGAGGGAGTAGAGAGTGAGAGGTACTCGCACCTGGAATCTGCACTTCAAGAAGACATTGAGTGACTTTTGGGCTTCCCCTCAAGAGGGAGACTTGATCAGAGGCTGCCATATCTGCATCGAAGAGCTGCAAGTTCCTACTTTGGTCTTCAGACATCGGCGGGGGATCCGGCGTTGCAACAGGGGTGTAGGAAGGCCCTCTTAGTCATGCTAGGACACTTCGTGTAGTGGTAGCTAGGGGTCAGGAGGACTTATGAGAGAGGGGGGTGAGTCGTTATCCATCTTTGGAGGTCGGGCCTCACAGGTAAGTGCCGTGTGCCCTGGTTATGCCCGCGGGAGGTTGCTTGGTGCTTCATGGCCTGTTGGGGTGTGCTGGGCTCTCTTCCTCTTCTCTGAGGTCTTGGCTGTGTGTGTGAGCATGTGGATTGCTTTCTCACCTGATGGATGGATGGATGATGTATCTGTTCTAAATGGCATATCTTTCTACGGTGCAATGTCTTTTCATTTCTGAACGGCTGTAGGGGTAAGTTCTTGCTGAAAGTTGTCTTTTCCTTTTCAGTACGGTAGAGGAAGTTTGGGACTGACTTCGTACACCTATCTCGTTGGTCCTGGTCCACGACCTACTTGGGACCTTCGGGACTCAGCGGGACCAGGCCAAACAGGACAGGACATTCAGGGCCCAAATCTGTTGCCGTCAATGCATCTCTTTGCTGTGCTGAATTTGGGGGACATACGGCTAACAAGGGCATTCCTTTCAAGGGGGCTCTTGACTGGTCTTACTGCATGTTATCACATACTGCCCCGCATCTGGCTCGGCGACCGTCTGCACCCCTCGAAATCTCCATTGCTGCAATTAGTTTTCTTCGTCTGATTTATTGTGGTACATGTACCTTGTCAGGTTAGACAAGAGGGGATATCCAGCTAATCTGATCGGGCCCGTTCGATAAGTCAGTCCTCTCTTCCGTTTATTATTTATTTTTTTTATTCGTTTCTTTATTCTGCTGTGTGCCATTCTCTAAGTCCAAATCAATTGCCGCTCCGGCTAGGAGTTCTACCTTCTACTCTTTGTGATTTACTGTTTGTTTCTTTTATCTGAACTATCTATGTCCGGTGTTGAGACGCATGCGCAAAAAGCGGAAAGAGAGAGAAGGGAGAGAGGTGTTCTTTTTGAGAGTGTGAGGAAGGGTAAGAGGAGTGTTCGTCCAAAAGTGAGCAAAGTGCGGACCCCTCTTGAGAGATCTACTGACACCCTATCCTCCGGCATGGCAGACATCACGTCCGACCAATGGAAGGCCATGCTGGACGCAGCGGCCGATAACAAGAGGCCTTTCTTTCAGAAACTTTATGAGGATGCTATACACAGAGAGAGGGAGGCAGAGGCAGCAACCAGAGCCACAAGTATCTCTGAACAGGTGGCCCTCCTTGCGGTTCCGGAATCGAATGATGACCGGTTCCAATAGAAGATAGCAGCTGCCGTAGCAGCCTTGGTTCAACTGCGGACCTTGGAAGACCTCGAGTCTCGTGTGACAGCCCTGGAGCAGCGGAACCAAGAGCTGCAGGCTGAGATAGTCAGCCTCAAACAGTCCCAACTGTCTGCCCCCCGTCCTCCTAACCCTCGACCTGCTGCAGTCCCAGTCTCTCAACCTAACACAGTCCTCATGATGAGAGCAAGTGGAACTGTGACAAGCGCAGGAACCGGTGCCAGCTCCTCAAGCGGCAGCGCCGGCAATTCTGCACTAGTCATAGTCCCAAATGCAGGAACAACAGCCCAAAACGCCACAGTTCTTACTGGCGTACAGTACAGCGGTCGCGTAGTGGACAAGCGGGCGGCCACTCTGCCGTCCAAGTACGACGGAAAGGGGATATCACCTCTTGGATTAGCTCCATGCGCTCATACTTCGAGGTACTGTGAACACCGCAGGAAGGCCGAAAGATGATCATGGGCACTAATACTGAGCCCGTCGTACAGAGTTTCATAGAACTCCAAGCTGTCACAGCAGGTTATGAGAGGATTGACTTGACCGAGTGGCTGAAAGTGACTCCTGTACGTACTCTTGAGGACCTCGTCATCATGCGGTCTCAAGATAAGCACGCTGCGCTCAAGGCAAGACTGAAGCTTGAGGCCCTCGAGGGCCAAATGTGGAGGACTTCCATGCAGGCTTTGGAGCAGCACTTGACTGGTCTGTTCACCACTCCAACCCTGGGATTGACTGACGTGTCTTGCATCGATGTAGTCATGGGAGTGGCCCCTAAAGAATACATCTCCCATCTAGGACTCAAAGACCATACCACTTGGCGAAAACTACTGACGGATCTAGTCAACCTAGAAGCCAAGGAACTCGCCAAGCGTGTAAAGGCACCCGCTGCAGGTAGAACCTCGCAACGCAAGCGGTACGGAAGCAGCAACCAGCTCGCCCTGCATGAACATCGGGGGGCTGAGGATCAGTCCTATGCGAATGATCTGTCTCTGGATGACGATCTAAAGCCGGACTCCGACGTGGGCTGTTCTACACCAGCCCTTGAGTCTGACGTGAAAAATGAAGAAAAAAATGCTTTTAAAAAGACTGCTTCAAACAAGGGGCCTAACCGTAGTTCGGGTAAGGGAACTATAGCACACCTCCCCAAGAATGCAAAGATCCCCGAGAAACCGGAGGATGCTTCTACCAAACCTTGGGAAGCCCTCCGCATCAAGGAATGGGAAAGAAGATCCAAACAGCACGTGTGCTTCCATTGTCAAAAGCCTGGGCATGTTGTGCAGGATTGTTATCGTCTGCAGGAAAACCGGCAAAGGGCGTAGAGGAGTCATCAACACTCTCTACAACAAGGGAAGCTGAACAATCAGTTCCAAGCCCCTCCAAGGAGCCTGAATCTGATCAACAGATTACTCTTGAAGCCCAAACTGATGTTGAATCCAAGGCTGGTGCAGTCCAAGTACTTCACACTGAGCCTTGGGAAGAGACTAAGGAAGTTGACTTCCACTCACACCTGGAACATTGGCTGCAGCTCAAGCAGCAACGCCGTGTTCAAGGGAGTGTGGAGCTAACCTTCTTT